GCAGGACAACCAGCACATCACGCCACAAGCCGCCGGGCCGGAGGTAGATGCCGCGTAGACGGAAATCGCGTAAGTGGGGACTATGGCGACGAGCCAGTGCGATGATCTCGTCAGCACTCAGTCGCCAGCCCTGGATGCTGAGTTTGCGGAGGGCTTTCCAGCGGATGTGGTGGAAGAGTAGCTCGAGGTCGAGGTCTAGAGGTGTTTTGCTTAGGAAGCCGATGTGAATGGCGATGAGGTTCTTGGCTGCAACGAAGAAGCGGTGGAAGACTTTTGAGAGATTGGCCATGGTTCTGGTGATATCGGTTGTTGAGTAGAAGTTTATGTCGAGGCTTGTGAGGCGTCCGCCCATGGCGGCAAGGGTTGTTGACGGGGCGCGGAGGAGCTGGAGGGTTGCTTCCGGGCTGATTTGAGGCCCTGTGAAGCGGATGGAGCTGCATTTTGAGTCGAGGAGAGCGAGGCTGAGGTTAGCTACGGCGCGCGAGCAGGCGGTTTCCCAATCGAAGCGTATGCTTGTTGCGGTGCTGGTGCCGGTTCCCAGTGAGTGGTCACGTAGAAAGTCGATAAGGTATTCGTCTGCTTCATCTTGGAGTCTGAGGAGCTTTATTTCCTGTAGAGCTGAGAACAGTGAGACTGCACGGCGCAGGCAGGTTTGGTCATTGTTGGTTTCAGTTAAATTGGTTTGTTCATACAGTCGGCGGCTGTGTAGTTGGGATAGCTTGGGATTCTCTGACCCCAAAGCTCGCAGTGTGTGGGCCCATCCTATATTTTACTATTAGTCCATTTGCTCGCTATTTAATGAAACATTGCAGAATTTGTACCGCTTCCTTGATAAAAGGGTCGCACCATGTACGTGATGGTCTTCACATAGTAGGCCAGCTGCATGTCTACCAGTTCATCTAGTCGCCGGAAGCCGTGCTCAGAGAAGCGTAGAGTGAACCGATTGAACTTGTAAGGGGTGCCAATTTGCATGAAGCGCTTGCAGACGAGTCGAAATTGATCAAGGTCGGACGCTTCGCCATGTTTGTGGTCGCCAGGCCTGGAAGTATGTCCATTTCCATTGAATCTGCCGTTTAGGGCTCTCGGTGCGGGTTCGAGAAGAAATGACAAGATCTCGCTCAATAACTCATCAGCAAGATCATAAATGTGACGTGAATGAGCCATAATTAGTGCGCAAAGCCGAAGCATCGGCCGCTTGACGAAGTAGCAGCAACATGGAAAGATCGCGGACTTGAGGGAAAGTTGACGCTCTTAACATGTCCCCAAGACCGGAGAGACAACTCACGGAGGAAATTAAGAAGAGGGGGGAAAATGAAACATAGAAAAAAAAAAAACAGATCTAATCCTCGAGTCGTCGCTATTCTCCTGCAGACACTAGTAGGACAGTTGACTTGTCTCGCCATGCATGGCGAAAGCTGTCGCCCTAACGATTGATTTCGCGACCGGGGACGATTGTCCAGTGCCTAATTTAGTGTCCTCGGCATTGACAAGGCGGGCACTTTGAATCGATCCGCTCAATTTCATTGGTAACGCTGCCACACAGTAATCACATGATAGATTGAATCTGCGGCCAGCCAGCGTGCAAATCTGCAGGAAAGACCATTCAGCGAGAGCGAGTAGTGTTGGAGGGGCCACTGCAGACCCCGCCGGGAGGTCGTCACATCATGCAGAGTGATGGGCCATGCGTGTGAATTATGTGTCTGACCAAGAGGCAGGCAACAATTGATTGGGGATTAATTGCCGAAATCAAGACGAACTAATGTATGTACAAGTGGTTGAGAGATTATTTACTAGCTGTTGGATCTCCTGTATCATTACGTGCCATGTGTGTATGTACCCATCAGACCTTTGCGAGATGAACTTGGCGCCGTCTGATATCTGTGCTGCTGATTTTGGACTCGAAGCCCTCGACATCAGTGGCTGTGGCTGCCTCTCCAGATTGGAGTACATCCACCTCGAATACGGCAAGGCCTTTCCATCCCTTCTTCGCCCGCTCTTCGTTAACGGCCGCCCCTCCTGAGTGTGTCTCCTTTGAGACAACAATTGCTCCAAGGTTCTCCTCGGTAATCGTGGGCCCAAATGGATCAGAGATCTCCACAAATTCAAAAGCCAGGTTGGGTTGTACCCTTACGAGGACAGTCTTCCCATTGGGACCTGGCGCAAAAGCACGTTTGATCTGCGGTGACTTCTTTTCAGGCGAGAAATCCATAATGGCCGTCAGAAAATCTGCAGTACTCTGCCAACGCTCCTCCCAACTCTCGAGAAATTCAGCATATTTTTTATTAACCAACAGCGCATCCCCGGTCACTCCGATGGTCAGGCAGCCCTCCTGCTCCCGGTCCAGCGGTTCCAGGACCAATGCAACTGCTGTGAGCAAGAGCTTGTGACCAACATGAAGATGATCAAATGTGCCACCAACAACCACGGAATAGTATGGAGTGTGTGCGTGTTGGTCGTCAGGAATTAACAGGCGGTCAGAGACTACCCAGTCAGACTTTCGTGTGATGGCTTGCATGCTTGCCGCCATGCCGTCCCAGGCCTGGCTGCCAACACTGTTGGCGAAGGAATCAGCCAAAGTTTGGCCGGTGGTGTTGGATAGATAAAAAACATAATCCCAACACCGCCCTGAATTTGCTAGTGATTGGATGTCCAGAATAGGCCCAAAGCGAGAACTATCAGAGACCTGGATGGCCGAGGGGTTCTCACTTGCATCGATAAATACCACCCGGGTATCAATGCCACCTGGAGAATCCAATTGAATGTGTTGTGTAGCACAGACAACACCAACCAGGGTATAGACGCTGGTCAGATAATGCTGGAGTTGTGCAAACACTGTGGCCCGAGGTTGACAGCTTGGGGAAAGAAGATCTGGGATGGCCAGAGCAATATCCAACACAGCTGTTCGATTGGAACCAATCAGGGTATTTGAGAGCTTAGTGTAGACATCCACCAAGGGTGACTGAAAGGCATCTTTGACTTGGGTAAAAGAAAAGGCTGCAGGCGGGGGAAGTAAAAGTAAAGCCGAGGTTGAATTGGTATGATCGGAAGCCATGACGTGAAGAATGTATAACTACAGTCACAAGCACTGGGGTTAACACTCAAATGAGGAGATAGACGATCAAAGAAACCAAAGGATCACATAGAAATTACAGAAGTCACATAGACAAAAAGAATTACCACCCTGAAGAAGTGATCGGATCCATCCCCATCACAGACTGGGGTACTTGGCTGAGTCAGCTGCTCTCGTGGGATGACACCGCCCTCTGTCCTCCACTCAACAACTCTCTGATTGAGATGAGGATGCCATTGCGAGCCAAGTGACCTGATAAGTTGGAGTGAGATCTAGCTGACACGGTCCTCTGGTTGGAGCTCCTTCGAAGCCCCGCTATATCCCCAATCTGGTGCATCCTCAACCACCTTCTCTGATCTCGATCGAGAAATAGTGGAGCTCATCCTCCACCTACGATCCATCGCACCATCCCCCGCATAGACGGTGCTCTTGCTCGTCGGCGTAGACCGCATCATGTCGAATCCCATCTCCTATGACTCCCACCGGCGGTCAGCTGTGTTCAGTCGACAACCGGAGGAACTTCACATTCCATCAATCGGGCTAACCAACCCAAACCTGTCCCTCCAATCCTCCTCGCAGGACTATCCCACCACAGCGGACGCAGGTGCCCGGCTTCCCTCTATCAACGTTCAACAGAGCTCTCAGTACAGCGGCGACGGAATCAACAGCAGCACTACCCTCCCAGGGGCCTTGCAGCCAGGAAACCAGAACCGTCCGGCTCCAGCATCCATAAACCCTGCTCCATCGGTCGTCCCTACCATGCCACAGACATCGTCGCAAACCAACCATCGAGCCAGCATGATTAATTCACATGGACATTCACAGTCTAGTCCAGCCGGGTTCGACCAAACCATGTACAAACAACATGGTGCGCCTGATGGCTCGAAATTTCCCTCCTCTCCAGGAGCATTTCCGCCTCACACCCCTCAAGGCTCCAAGTACTCTCCCTTGGGTCTGTCCGATATCAGGCCATCCGGTGAACACATGTTGAGCGAGGCACTTATGAACCCCGGAATATCTTCGATGCCTTGCAACAACGGAGACAACCAGGTGCCGACTAACAGCAATTACGTGGCACCTTGGCCTATTTATGCAGTGGATTGGTGCAAATGGCCCATCACAGGAAACTCGGGCTTTGGTGGAAAGCTAGCCATGGGAAGTTATTTAGAAGACAGTCACAACTATGTATGTGCATTCGCTCTACGGATGAAAATGGTTATGCTAACAAGTTGACAGATTCAGATTCTCGATGCACACTGGACGCAACCAGATCCCGACGCCTCAGACGCGGCTGCGGGAGGGATTAAACTGGAATATGTGAAAACTGCTGAGGCGACACATTCTTACCCGGTTACCCGCATCCTCTGGGAGCCTCCCTCATCTCAGAAGCAGTCGACTGATTTGTTGGCCACGTCAGGAGATCACCTTCGCTTATGGTCGTTGCCAAATTCTCAGCCTCTTCAAAGCTCGAACTCGATCACTCGTCCTATGAACCAGCGAGACCCCGCCACTTCTAAGCTCTCCCCGCTTGCTTTGCTGTCTAACTCAAAATCCCCCGAGCACACTGCTCCCATCACCTCTCTTGACTGGAATACGATTTCTCCCAGTCTGATCATTACTTCGAGCATTGACACAACTTGCACCATTTGGGATATTCCCACATTGACAGCGAAGACGCAACTGATTGCCCATGACAAGGAGGTGTATGACGTTCGCTTCTGCGCAAACAGTGTGGATGTCTTTGTAAGCTGTGGTGCTGATGGGAGTGTGCGAATGTTTGATCTGCGCAGCCTTGAGCATAGCACAATCATTTACGAGCCCACAGATAAGAGCGAGAAGCGTAGGTGTCTGGCTAGAACAAAAGCATCTGACCTGAATACTGACAACCCCTTCAGCGGCGATAGCCCCTGGGAGCTCTAGCCCCCCTGGTCAATCGCAAACTGGCCTCTACCCTCCGCCTTTGCTGAGAATCGCAGGTATGGACGACGTGATCACAACATAGTGTATAAATACAAGCTAATAGTCTCCCAGCATCCCCCCATGATGCCCATCTCCTGGCAACATTCTCTCAGGACTCCAGTGTTGTCCGCGTTCTCGATGTCCGACAACCCGGCCAAGCCCTATTGGAACTGAAGGGCCACTCAGCTGCCTTGAACTGCGTTGAGTGGTCTCCAAGCCGTCGTGGCATCCTCGCATCTGGCGCCGACGATAGTATGGTCCTCCTCTGGGACCTCATCAACCAGCACAATGCTGCACCAGTCGCCTCCCCTCCCTCCACCACCACAGGAGCCCCGCCTTCCACGACCTCTGAGCGCGGCCCAGCCGGCGTCTGGCAGAGCGAATACGAAGTGTCCAACATCAGCTGGTCCCCACAAGGCGGGCCCAACCACACCGGCCAGCCACGGGAATGGTTGGGAGTGTGCGGTGGACGAGGACTGACAGGTGTAGCGTTATGAGCCAACTAAAAAAGAAGCCTTGGTTTTCTAACGACATCCCTTCTTTTTACCTGGAGCTTTCCAACAACCAAGGCTCTTGCATTAGATGGTCCAGTCTCTTTGATGTTTGTTTCTGTTTGCCGCGGTCCAATGCTTCGCGTGCGCACAGCATCTCCTGTTTTACTTCGCTTTGCTGTTTGTGTGCTTCAATAGTACCGGTCGGCTTCTCTGTATCGGAATCGGTACGCTCTTTGCATGGATCGAGTGACAACTCGCTGATCTTCATGGCCGACTCTTGTGTCTATTGATTGGCCATACTCTTGACTTGTTTGGTATGAGTGAACGAATGAACGAACTCTACATTGGATAAGTACCATTTGACATTGGTTGAGAGTGGCCCTTGGGCGCCTATCCTACGTAAACCAGTGTAATCTCGTTACCCCGAGCTCATGGCTCCTTTGGAACAACTAGGATTGATGACAGGGCCAACTTGGCCGGAAGGATTGAACCGCTAGGATAGAAACCGCGTACAACTTTGTTGCAATTGACATTCTTTTCACCGGTTGTACGAGAACGAGATATGCATCTACTTCCATTTCCTGTTGAAAGAGTGTACGACGTGATAGTCTTGCTTCAATAACGAGTATAAGCACCGGAGCTAAAGTAAATGAGAACGGATAGACCGAAAGTCCAACGCAGTAACAATAACCAAAACGGCTCGCCCAGCGAGCAGGTATTATATGGAGGACAGGCGTACCAAGTCAGAGAAAGCAACCGCTACCCAATCGCAGTCTAATATAAACAGGTTGATGCTAAGTCAAAAAAAGATTTCACCCTGCGCGAGTAGCCAGAATTGGGCGACTGAGTGTCGGGCCCTTGGAAATGAGACGATCTTCGAGCGAGCGCGCGAACTTGACGCTGGGAATGTCCACAGCGCGCCAGAACACATCGCCTAGCCAGATGGAGACGGGAAGGCAGATCAGCCACCCAATGAGGAAGCCGAGACAGTATTGGAAGTTGGTCTCTTTGCCGGTGAGTTTCCAAATGTTGGGCATGATGGAGTAGCCCAGACAATGGAGCACGGGGCCGTGGACGACGTAGAATGCAAAGGAGATCTTGCCTAGGTATTGGGAGAGGGAATTTGTGAAGAGTTTCTGAATATCAGGGGAGTGGTTGATAGAGAAGACAATCAGGACGGCTCCGATGGTCTGGGCGAAGCGGTGCGGTTCCGGGTAGGTCTTAGGAGTGATGTGCCACAGCCAGCTGTAGAATGGCGTCCATTTGAAACCGATGTTAGGACATGAACCGAAGTAGAGACCGACTATGAATAGTGAGATCCATAGTCCACGGCGGGAGACTCTGATGGTGGTTTTGCTGCCGGGACTGAGGCGAATGGTTATGTTGTCGTCTTCGACCGCCGATCGTGCGGATGACTCCCAGGTTCCGTTAATGAGATCCACTTCGGCCATCAGCATGCCAAGGAGGAATAGGACGATTTCCCAGCGACCATACCGAATGCAGAACCAAGTCAAGCCAGAAACTGCTGTCATGCGCACAGGTGCCACCAAGCGTGATGTTCCCATGATGACGACGAATAGGATGAGCGAGGAGCGGAATTCGAGAGGAATTGTCCAAAGGTGCGGATTGTAATAGTTGTAGTAGAGCGCATAGTCGAATGGATTTATCAAGGTCGCCAACGTGACCCACAAGTCGTCGATTTGTTTAAAGAAGGATTTGTACATATGTGGATGTTGCTCGTTAGTGCCGAGGATTGTGTGTCCCTCCTTGATGACGACATGGGAGTAATTGTACAGCCCAAGACGAATAGCCACAAAGACACCAAGAATTCCAGCAATGGCGGGAATATATAGACGAAATGCTCGGCGGAAGATTCCCGATGCAAGCACGGTGAAAGTTTGATCCAAGGACCTGCTCCGGATCGTTTTCAGCGGTTTATATGACAGAACGTAGCCGGAGAGGATGAAGAAGATGGCCACCATGATGTGACCAGAAATCAGCATATGGAAGAAGGGCAACTGGTGAAGTCCAAAGTTTTCTCCGCCAAATCCCCATCCTATCGCGACCTTCCATGTATACGTGAAGAAGAAATGGAAGTTAAAGACCAGCAGACAGGCCCAGCCACGCAGCCCATCTAGGGCCGCGATGGCATGGAGCTTCTCAGGCTGGGGTGGCGAACTGCCCACCAAGTGTTGTAGAAAACTTGGCGTGAGCGCAAGTGTCAACTTGTGCCATGTGTCTTCGGCATATGCCAGCCAGTCTCCTTGTGACATCTTCGGTGCCAATTCATCGGGATGTGCGAGGATGTATGAGGGGTGAAATTGCGAAAAGCCATTCCAGCGGGTTGTGAGCGTCGATCCAGAATCCGAGGCAGATTCAAGATCTTTCAAAGGGATATCGGACGCCGAGGTGGAGGCCCGATCTTCGAGGTGGGATGTCATAATGTTATGTTCTGCAGGTCGATCGATCGCAAGTGGGTATGTCCAGTGGGGATAGATGCCTTAATTAACACGCGCTAACCGTTGACGGGAAGCATTTAGGTCGGTATAGGGTATTGAGAATGTCGAGAGATGGGAACTGGACAGTTCGCTCGTCCAGCGAGGTGTGATAAAGCCGATGATGCGGCCCCGGGGACTGAGGTCGGCGAATTCGGGCAAATGCGTCAGCAGAAAGGGGCCTGTTTCACCGCCAGTGGAAATGGCGAATGTTCAGGTGAAATCGAGAATCGCACGAGAGTTAGGGAAGGTCACGTATAGCCAAAAAGCCAAGGAGATTAAACTGAAGACATGGCAGAGAGCCGCCGATCGATTGCCGTTTTCGTTTGGACCGCATTCAGAATGCGGTCGTACATCAAAGTACTTGGTATTTTCACACAAATGAGGATCTAATTCACGATTCAATTCCCTTCATGTGAAATTCCGATGTACATAGATATGTATATCTATCATTGTGCCCTCGAGATAGCTGACGCGTCAGTATTATGCAGCAGGCGAGTATCAACAATCATACATGTCAATTTCTACGACTCCACAAGGTTGAATCGCTGAATGGTTCCTACACTATATCTTCTGCCTCTTGAATTGACAGTAGAAAACTTGCAGTATTTGAGGTCCACAGAAAAGGAGCTGGACCGTTTACATGTCATTAACATTGAGATCATTAACCTTGTCAACTTCAGAATCATCATCTCAATCAACAGAGTCAACATCAAAAGAACCACCCTCCGATCCGTCATTCTTAGATCTGGCATGTGCAGAACCAGTCTCACCATCACCAAGTTCAGAATCAGAATCGTAAAAAGGGTTCGGCTCGTCATCCTCAAGAGTCTCCTCCTCCTCTTCCCCACCATCTCCAGCTAACTTGGACAGTTTCTTGATATCATATGTCACACGAGCACGAGTTTCCCATAGACCCTCACAAACGACTACTCTATCATTAATGTCCTGTGCTAACGATCTGTCATCTAAAGGGGATCGGTACCATTTATCAGAGTTTAAAGAACCACGCTGCTTGGATTGAGTCGAAGTAGAAGGAGACGATCCTTCATAAGAAATTAAGCTAGGTCCTGCAGGCTGATAAAACTTATCAGGTTACAGGAAGTACAGAGTATCGATCGCACAAATCCATTGGATGTGCCATTTTGGAGCACCAGGGTCCCGAAAGCTGCACTTTGATTGTACACTATTGAACGAGCAGCTCATACATGCTCCAGGAAACAAAGCCATCGTAGAACTTCTTGGATGGGAAACAATGCAAGAGCCAAAGGGGCCTCGACCTCTCATGCACTGTTCACGCTCTTGTCCAGGAACAGCCACAGTATCTGAGCATTGACCAAGCGCAGCTCGACATTTTATATAAGTTGAGATGCAATTTATTACCAAGACGCCAGTCAAGATTGTAGACTGGAGCTAAGGCAATTCATTGAAGATCTAATCGACTGTTGTAAAGATTGGCAGGGGATTCCGTGAAGAGTCAAGTGTAGGGCGAGCTATCGAAAACATTAGAATGGCACTGTAAGAACAGATCTAAGCACCGTTGAAAGGAAGAGATTGTCACTTAACTTTTGAAGCAGTTTGAGCAGCAGCAGCTTTGGGGTTCCAACGAGGAGGTAATTGAATCTCTGCAGATGAGCCGGAGGACTCGTGGCTAGATTCATTGCTCAATTGCTCAATATAGGACGTTTTTTTGACCAAAACAATTAGAATTATGAATCAGGAAACTTCTTAAGGCATACCTCTCACCGAAAAATTCAATTGATGACTTTGATGCCATAGCTGTGGTAAAAAGGGGGACGGCTGAAAAGGGATTTCCAGGACACCTACAACGATGTCTCAGAGAGAAGGGGATAACAAGGAAGATGGACTAGCTGTCTAGATCCAAAACTTTCACAATCTTTCTATCTTACACAAAAGCCGGAGAAAAGAGGCGTTTGGCAAACAAAGGTAGGTACAGGTAAACAAGAGGGCGTTGGGAAAGATGGGACGCCGAGGTGCAAAGTAGTTCGGTATGTGATAGAACAAAGAAAGCTGCGGGTCTACTATATTAGAGCATTGGGATTGTGTACTTCTGTTGAATATTGCAATAATCTCTACATCACCCAGCTGTCTGTTTTTCCTCCACTGAAAGATGTAGGGTTGTAGGTTGTAGGTTGATTGAAGAACAGTGTATAGTTCCCCAAACGGCTTAGCGCGTGACTGACTGCCTCAGGTGCCGACGCCAAGACATCTCGAGATCTCAGTCGTGGTCTTTTTTCCATCACAGAGGACATAAGAGGGTTAAAAGACGTATCTCACGTCAAAGATTGTTTGAAAATTGTATGAATTGGGTGGTTGATAGATAGAAATTTTTCATAGTCCGCTCTACCAAGCTCTCCGAATGCATCATACCTCCAAGAGCTCCGTTTCCACGGGAGCCTCGCTGGACAATTTTGAGCTCCCAAGCTCCCAACGTAGAACTTTAGACAACTCAGTGATCGATACCAATTGATGCACAATACAGACAATTGGGCCTTGATGTCGCCGGTTCCCTAAAGCGGCGACGATCCTCTCAGCTCCCTGATTCGCGCAATTCCGCAGTTGGAGAACTTCTCCCTTCCTCTTTATCCATCCACGCTCATTGTGCCGCCGCCTTCTTTCAGCTCCCCGACATCTTGCGATACGATCTGGATGTCGCGATCGCCTGTCGCGTGCAATTCTTGATAAAAGTGTTTGCGTAGCCGAAGTGGTCCCGAAGTGGGTGTAGTCACGATGGATTTGCGCACGATCATGAACACCGACGGTGGCGCCTCCAATCCTCCACCTCCGAGCAACTCGGCCAGTTCACCCATATCCAATCAAACCCCCCAAAAGCGCCCGAAAAAGGCAGCTTCTTACTCAGAATATCCTACACGTCCGTCCCAGCCTCCTCCGTTGCAACACCCGCAGCACGCTTCCCCAGAGCGAAACTCACCTTTCGCGTCCGTTCAATCGCCATACCAACAACTCACCTCGGGCCCAGTGAGTCATACAGCGGTGAGATCTCAGCGCAGTCAGACACCCCCACACGTTTCGACTCCGTATGGTCCCCGCACGCGTGATCCATTTGGCGCGCCGGCATACGGGTCGCATCCCCAACACCCCGGGGGTCCTCTGGTTTCACCATACACACCACAGCCGCTGAGTGCTGGACCGCAGTACCCAGAACATCAGTCATCTTTCGCCCAGCAGCGTTCCCAACAGCGTTCTCAATCACTTCAATCGGTGATGACAACATCCCAAGCTCCAATTGAATCTTTCCGCAGCCCTCCTGTTGCATCGCAACCTCTTCCATCGCAACACTTCTCTCCCACTGCTCATCGATCTGTTCCCGGCACCCCTCTAGGTCCTCCTCCTGTCTTTGCCACCCGCCAGTCCTCATCAACTGGCCGCCCGCCGTCGTCCGGACACGATTCCCCCGGCAATCCCCTGTCCAGTCCGAGGCCCGCACAGGAGGCCGATATACGAGATCAGGTTCCAACGCAATCACCTGTGGCCCAGCGTCAGCTCTCCCCGCATAGCTCTCAAACCTCCGAGCCGAATCATCTCCCTTCGGGCGGCTTAAAGCAAGAGCCAGCCGAGAGCGCCAGTCCCAAATCCATCTCCCGTCACAACAGCATTGTCAGGGCCTCCGAGTCAGCGCCCGCTGGTCAAATTCGTTCCTCAGAAGACCGAAAGCTGATCGAGAGTCCCACTACTACACAAAAGCCCCCCGCCGCAGGATCGGATTTCTTAACTTCTCCATTGGCACCTGGCAGTCAAATGAACAGTTCACCCTCCGGCGCTCGTCGAGGCACCCACGCCATGGACATAGACATCGACCTCGAATCGCGTGTCGATGCTTATCAGCCCAAGCTGAAGAGAAGGAGGTATACCGAGCCCCCGATCTATGCTCGACTTACGCCTCGCAACACAAGCAGACGCCCGATTATTCCCAATCCCCGTCCCCCAGTTCCAAAGCATGCGCGACAGAACCAGCAGGATTCCTCCCTCGCTGCTCGCAGACAGTCTTCCTCGATAGTGGCAGTCACACCTGTCGCACGTGTGACACGAGGACCTGCTGTTGCTTCACCAAGCACAAACATGCCTCGTGTGCAAGCTCCCCCAACTCTGCTGGCTCCTTCGCTTCGTCCACCAGGTAGTTCGCAGGCTGTAGGCTCGCTGGGTCCTTGGGAGCCGTCTCTAACAGGCTTCATTCCACACGAGGAAATTACCAAAACCCTATGTGATTTCTTGTTTCAACACGTGGTTATGAGAAATGATATGAATGCTGGTCCGACCGGCTCTGCTGCTGGCAGCCAGGGGACCATTGTCGAGATTGAGGCGAAATTGGGCCACATCATCGACATGGACAGCAGAGATCGGATCCACCTGCCCATTTTGACCGAGAGCGTCCTCAATCGGGAGAATGCACGGATTCGAACATCCTTTGAGAGCAAAATGACTGTGGTAAGTTGATGCCCCGATGTTGAGCGAGGATGCCGCGACCTCAAGGAAACTTACTTACCGCGATCTATAGGAACAACACCGCGCCATGAATAATTTCCTGAATGAGGCTGTGAAAGCATCAATGCCCCAACCTAACTCGACCCGAATCCCACTTGCATACGTGCACAAAAAAGAACGCGATACCTTCTATGAGATCCAAGCAGCTGACCTACCCCCGGTGATCCGTCAAAATCTGAACCCAAGACACAAACCGAAAGTCCGGGTAACCACCGATGAACGAACCGGTGAAATACTCGCCAAAATCGTCAAATGTCGAGTTGCCGACTTGGACGTCTGCAGTCCCCGGACAACAGTAGACTGGCGCGTCAGTGTCAATCTGGAAATGGACTATACCGGCGACGTCAGCCATCTTCCGGTGATAGATCCAGCTGTCATCAAAGGTGGACGAGGTGATCGGATCAAAGATCGCATGAGCTACCGTCACTTGGCCTACCAGGTGGACTTGACTCAAGTAGCCAAATTCGACGTAAGTCTATCATCTGTTCTGTGTCACCCTCACAAAGAGTCTTCTGACCATCTCACAGCAACAACCGGGCAAGAATGAGTTCGAGCACGAGCTAGAAGTTGAAGTCTCGGCCGAGGAAGTTCGTCGTCAGGGCCAGCTTGCTATGTCGGGCGATCCTCAGAATCAGTACGAAGACCTCGTTAAGGGCTTTGTGGATAATATCCGTCTACTGGCTCGAGCGGTGCCGCCATGATCGTCTTGGCCGCTTTGTATTATGAATTTTTTTTTCCTGTTTCAGGCTTTACTGTGGTTTGGTTTGTGGTTCACTGCAGATATGATTCTTGGTTCTGTGGTAAAAAAAAAGTACGCACTGTAATAGACGTTGTGCGTGGGGTTTCATATTGGCTATGGCAGCATTGTTTCCTGTACACGGGAGTGTTCCAATTCATCATTATTAGTCGCCTCGATTTTGGCTATTCAATCCTGTGGAAATGTTCTAGGGAAGAAAGTATAGCCCGTTCCACAGTGCATCTTGATCACAGATTGGGGGCCTTGAAAATAGCATCACCGCATACATGCTGCACCTGCTCCAGGGACAAATATCGTGGTAGATCCTGGGTGATTTCAAGGACCTGTATAGTTAAACATTGGTATAAGGACTTATGCTATACAAGTGATTCTATCACACATATCCAAAAGAATGGATGTAGGCCTGTGAAGATTTTGTCGATTGACTGATGTATGAGATGCCAATCCATCGAGATATAGCCGAGCAGGATCTTATGTGGTCCATCGAAATCGATCCAGTGCTAGGATTCACAATGTTTTCCAAGGTAAGTATTTAATTGCGCGGACTACAGACTAAGCTCCCATGGAGCTCATGGCAGACAGTATGTGCCTGGAGGAGGAACTGCCTGTGAGGGCAACCCTTGGCACACATACTGACAGTCACAGTGTAGAAGAGATACACTGCGGTCTGTCGACCTCGACCAGTACCGCACGACACCGCCGAAGAAGTGCATCTCTTTGATGCGGCGGTTGATCGGCAGTTGATGTGCTCCAATCCCAAATGAAGCCGGCATTGAACCGTCTCAGAATTTGCCGAACGTCCGAGATAGAAGTCCATATCGAAGGAAATCATTGGCTTCCCAGCCAGATACAATCGTTCAACTGTTCAAGAGACGTTTCAGGTATATTCTGATATGATAAACTGCATTTCAATCCTGTATGACGCAAAGTTCAGAGCCTATCTCTTACATCTCTTGTCTCAAGCGAGCTATCCCAAATAGGCAGTCCGATGCGCTATCAGAAACCCACATGATCTACCCCCTCGCAGTGAACACCCCCGGTCCACATGTCCTAAAACTTCCATTGATGCCATCCCAAATCCAGCATGTCGACCCGCTCACATCATGGCTGCTGGACGTGTAAACGACGGCGACGTCGCTGCGACAATGCGCGCCCTTCATGCCAAAACTGCACCGATCGTGGAGCCGCGTGCGAGGGCTATGAGGTTCGGTTAAGATGGGGTATGGGGATTGCGTCGCGTGGTCGCTTGACTGGTGCGGATACACCGGCCAAGAACTCTGTGCCGCCGAGGCCGAGGGGGAGACAGAGGGATCTTATCAAAGAGAGGGAAAGGCATGCGGAACTAGAGCAGGGCTCTGGTGAGTGTGGGTTATGAAATGATACGGTCATTTGATATTGATTGGTGCATAGCTTTGCATGGGAGTCGGGACTTGGAGCTAGCGGTTTCGCAGAGGAGAGTTGTGGATGATGAGGTTCTTTTCAATGAATGTGAGCTTGCAGCAGAAACCGTCTGAGTAGACTGTTTCAGTGCTAATTTTAATCTGGAGTAGTCATGAATAACGGCTTTAACGCGCTGCATTCGACAACAGCAGCATATACCATGCTCTATTCACGTCTCCCGCGGCTTTGTCAAGAGTCCAGCGCCTTGTATTCTATCTGCATCGCTTTTCAACTCGCACTCTCGAGCACAGTCTCCTCTCAGTTCTGCGAGTACTTCGACACCGCATTAAAAACCTTTTGATCAGAGCTAGCATGCAGTACGACCCTGTCCGATGGAACGTTGACTTCGGGGCTGCTGTTGTGCAGCATTGGCGTGCGTACCGTCCCCTTTTTGTCTCATGTATCCTCTGACCCTAAGGTCCTGACACTAATATGATCCCAGCTAATGCATGGCCT